GCTACTAGGGGGCTCCTGGCCTTACTACTAGGAGCAAGGACGCTACTTACTACTAGGAGCAAGGACGCTACTAGGGGCTCTTGGGCGTAGTACTAGGAGCAAGAAGCTACTAGGAGCAAAGGCTTCACGTTCCTGGTTTGGGACTTGCAACCAATGTGACCACATCGGAGCCACTCATAGCGCGGTTTGGGGGGGTTCCATCATGCGGGTCGCTTTGACCATGTGGGTCCCAAAAACTTCTCCTGGTGCCAGGCCACAATATTGCGATCAGATGGCCGTTGCCTATACCGTCTCTCATTTCGGCGTTGGTGGCAGCCAGGAATGCAGGCAACACTACTTTGGGAGACTCCATGCTTATGCCACATGCGGTGGCTTGTGTGAAAGGCATACAGCAGCTCAAGAGATCTGGGGTAAGGGCTGTAAGGATCATCCAAGATATCATGAGGTGCTTCTGAACTGGCACAACTCTTGATTTTTCCAGATCAGCTGGTAGGACGGCCATCCGCACTGGCCACGTCTGGATTGAGGACTGACATGTAATTCGCCTCAACGTTGCTTTGAGGATGATATCATGATGCTTGGCGTCGACCATTCTTGATTTTTTTGCGGGCAGACAGGGGTGCTCGGCACTGAGCCCAGAACGTACCTCAGTCTTTGGCAGACACTGCCTGTGCAGCCTATTTTGGTTCAACTTATCTCACCAAACTCACTGGCGCTGCTGCCCTGCCAGCAGGACGGTGGTTGAGGCACGGTGGTTGGGATGCAGATGGATGGAGCAGTGAAGTTTTGGTGTTTTTATGCTCAAAACCTAACTACACTGCTCAAAGTAAATCCGGCTACAGGTCTGAAACTTTGGGCACACCCCCTCTCACAGGCCAACGTTTTCTCACTTGGCTTGGTCGATAGGCATGTTGCCAAGCCTGCAGGCATGTCAGATGCCAAGACCAAAGCCGCTGCTTTCCTGGCAGTGACTCTGCAGCGAGCTTGCCACAATTCCTTCATTGAGTTGGGGAGCCTCAGAACAGTTCTTGAAGGATATGCAGGCTAAGAACTCAACTCTCTCCAAGCATTCCAATCCCTGACGAAGAAGTCAAAGCGGGCTCCTCATGGGTCGTGGCCCGGGCGTGGCCCCGAGGTGGGCCAAGGGTGACAATGAACATGCCAAGTATACCGTGTCAAGCGTGATCTTTGTTGCGCAAGTAGCAAAGCCGGCGAAGTTTGGATGTCTATTTTCTCGAGTTCCCCAAGTTGTTTGGGAGTTCTCATGAGCCGATCACCAACGGGAGAAAACAAGCTTGCTTGATCGCCAGGTTTGCGTCTTGCTTGGCTGGGTTTTGGCTCACAGCTCAGGGGGTTCCTCTGAGTTGAAGAAATGCTTTGATGCAGGGATGCCCAGCTAACTGTTCTCATGAGAGAGAGAGAGAGAGAGAGAGATAGAGCCACCAATTGCAAAAGCGCCAACTGCATTTCACATAGACAATGATGCCTTTAGCATTGCTAAAACAAAGAACTCCATTGTCTCAGCATTGTCTCAGTTCAAACATGCTCCTACATCTCTACGATTCTCTATGCATCCTCATCATTGTGTGACTGATTTGTTCAAGGTTGGAAACCTTTCGACATTTGCGCATATTGGCTTGATCTATGCGCTGGGGGACATCTTTGAGATGGAGTCTGTGAACTACATTGACTCATCTACATACACCGTGCTATCCCAGTCGAAGCTTGTATTTATATAGGATACTGTAAAATATCAAGCAAGTATCAACATATGTCAAACATGCAACCGAGTTGAAGAACCGAGGTAAAACAGATCCCGGGTGCGGAGGGATAGAAGGACTTGTGTGGATCTGCAGAGTTTCTGGTGGCAGGTACCAATCGGTTCAATCGGTCAAACTGACGCGAGAATGGAATTGAAGGATAGGGGTTTCTTCCTTTTGCCTTCAGCAAACCGAACAAAGGAAGCTAATCATCACCGCCACCATGATTTGGGTGATGGAAGGGAAAGCCCAGAGCCTTATGCAATGGTTCATCCTTTTCACGACTTCGTCTGGTATGCTTGAGTATGTCTTGGTTGGCAAAGCAAAGGGAGGTGCATCGAGCCGTCGTTCTTACCTCTTTTGTTGTTTGTTCTTAAGGTTTTTGGCCGTTCATGAGCCTATTGCCTTGCAGTTGCGCGGATGAGTCAATTGTTATGTTTGCAACGTTGGATTTGTCTTCTTGCTTATGCTGAAGCTTCCTCAAGACTTCAGCGACAGTGTTTTCGAATGCAACTTTGTGCATCCTTTAAAACCATGAATTTGTGCAAGGTTCCATGACCTTCAGTCCCTTTGGCGTTGGCCTCGCTCTCACGAAGGTAGCCATCAGCTGCTATGTAGCAGTATTGAATTCTGCAGCGCTGCAGAAAGACAAGAACACCTTCCCTGTGCAGTTCTCCTGCTTAAAGGCCAGGAGAGCAAACTGGGTGCAGACTGGAAGACCTGTGAACCTGTGCTTTGTTTGCCCCCATGTGCCGCCGAAAGCATCCTCGTTCGCCCTCATAAACAGCTCGAAAAATGCGCTCCATGCGCTCATGTTTCGTGCCGGGTTTACCGGTCTGAACACCAGGTCTCCTGGGCCGCGGCCAGCTTGGTTTATATGGTCGTCAAGGATGGCCTGTTGGGAGATGGGGACATGTTTGGAGAGTGGACACATCGCACGGTGGTTCTGGTCTTCTGTGGCTTTATTCTCAAGACGCTCTTCAACCAGTACCTCTTGAAGGTGTTGGATGCGATTTGGAAGAACATTAGCGAGGCAGTGGGTGTCATCTTGGTGTACTTTGGAAGGGTGGTCTTCCTGGGAGCTTCCTTCAGTGGACCAGTCTTCAATGCTGGCATTACAGTGGTTCTGGCTTGCATTGCTTACGTTCTTTCCAAGGAGGGAGGTAAAGCCAAGAAGAGTGATATTGGGGATGAGTTGAATCCAAATATCTATCCGGACCTTTCGGCGAGCCTGCTGCGGCACAGGTCACGGCCGTGAGAGAGACGCTCGTTTCGCTCGCTGCCATGCGAGAGAAGCTGCTAATGTTCGGAAAAGGGGGCGCCAACTTGTGGGGAGTCCAAGGGGCGAACCTTCTGTGACCCTACGGGCATGAATTCCACGGCTATGGACAGAGTACAGAAGTTTATGAGAACGCTACAACTGCCACTGAGTGAGCTGAAAGATGATACGCATGTGATTGATGCGTATATACAGATACACACATACACACAAATGATATGTAGCGCTACCCCCCCACAAAGATCCCGGAAGATGACGAACCAGCAGCTCGTTGCCGTGTCGGAACGTCCTCTCCTTAAGCGTTCCGGGACCAGGAACGCTTTCAGAAGGGCGACTTCGAGTCTGTAGCCCTCAGATTCGGACTTTCCAACACCAGTGAGGACCCCAGAGGGCCCACCAGGCTTGGAGGAAGTGGCCCTCAGGACACTTTGAAGCATTTCACATGGATGGCCATGGACACCGCGCTGTGAGATGTGTTTTGACTGACGCTGCCTTTTTGCCAATCGGTTGATCCTTGTTTGAGGCCTAGACACTTTGGATCAACGAGTTGCATTTGCATCGACAGGTGCTACCCACGGCGCGCGCTCAAGCAGTGCACACCACTTGGGAGAGTAGCAGGTCAGTTCGCGTCAATTGCAAGTTGTGCTCGTGCAGGTGTGGCAAATTTTCCTGCTCAGGAGTCGCTGCTTGCAAGCAATGCAGAAGGATCAACTATTTTCCCTCATGCCCTGCCAAGCATTTGTTTCACTTCCATAGTTGCACTTCCAGCTCAGTTAGATCTCGCTTCCAAAGAGGCTAGATTACTGTATTCAGTTTGACAGATTCTTTGCCATAAACAAAAGAATCAGGGAAGGAATAACAATTAAGGCAGGAGAGCATGAAGGCAGTGAGCAAGGAAGGAAGATCGCCAGAGAGCATTAGAATTAAGCGGGCAAGAAAGAATAAACAAATGCAGCTGCTTTTGTAAGACTGCCCCACTCACATAAATTGAATTGTTTGCATGGCATTGACACCTTTCTTCTTTTGCAGACGAGGCAGAGAAGGAAACTTGGAAGGCTTCACAGAACTGTTATTTTGGTCCTCAGTTTGTTCTGTGACGTTGATTGTTGCCATGGAAAGGGCTCCCCCTCATGCGTTTCTGTCCCTTTTCGATGCCCATCTGGAATGGACAGACCCGCCTGTCAGGCTCCAGGTAAGCCCGAATGTGCCAAATTGAAACAGCTGAGAAAGAGAGAAAGAGAGAACGAGAGAAAGAGCATGCAGACCAGAAGAACCAACCACATAAACAATGCCTCGGAATCAGCTTCAACTGCGAGGAGAACGATCCATTGTGCTCCGAAGCTGCCTGCAACATTGCAAAGGTCGGGCAATCTGTGATGCAAAGGTTTGGCAAGAAACAAGTCCACGAATGAGACAAGCCCTTCCGCTACAGACTCCAAGAGGGTTTTCTCAATTAGGGCATCAATTTCTCACTTTCAGAGCTGACAAGAGGCTTTCATTGAATAGACGAGTTGTGAGCATAATCCGAATGACACTGGCCCATACTGGTGGTACAAGTGAATGAAAAGGACCTTTTCCTCCAGCAGTGAAGGTGTGCGAAGTCATGACCAACAGCTCTCTGGGTGACGAGGCAGGAAGCTCCGTTGGAGTCGGAAGAAGTCCGTTGGCATCGCCGTCGCATCGCATCAAGTGCTATTTCCACGTCGTCAGACCACTGGGTACTTACTACTAGTACTAATAGCTTCTTGTTACTACTAGTAAGGCACTTGTTATTCGTTGCTCTTCAGTTGTAATTATCCTATACTGCTTTGACGTGACTTATATATTTCACATATTTACTGTAGCTTAAGTTATTTGTAAGCCCTGACTGCTGTGCCATTGATGATGTACCAATGACCTGGAGTAGCCCTGTCAATGCCACTTGAGTAGACCACAACATGGATGGTCTCAGCGAGTGGAGCAAGAGATTCATGGACGAAAAGCACCACATGCCCCGCATCGACCAGTTGGTGCTTTCGTTCAATTCAGCATCGACCCAACTCCAGGTCCAGCGTTTGGTGACCCTGCGGGATCTACAGGGCATTGAAGACTTGCCACCACGCGGACAAACGCAGGCACGACGTGGCACGACGCATTTTCGGCTGTTTTTTTGCGCGAGACTGGTGAGTTGGAGCGGTGGATTACATTGAAGCTGATGCGGCCTGTACGATTCCGCTGGTGTTTGGGAAGTCTTTCAGGTGCAGCTGCTAGCTGGCCAATTCCGTGGTCCCTGGAGGAGAGAGACAGGGGTTGAACGGGTGAAATCAGGATGGCAGTGTGGATGATGCTGCTTTATTGAAGGCACCGGCCTGAAGATGTTTGGGCCAGGGTGAGTGTCACCTGCTATTTCACCTTGCTTCTTCAATGTAGGGCTTGGGGAATGTGAGACCCATTTGTTCAGGTGCTATTCCCGTGTTTGTCCTGAGTCCGCCGTGCATTCACTTTTGTGTGACTGGTTGTCCAGTTCTTTCATTGACGGGAATTTGTTCGCATTGCAGCTCTGACTTTGAGATTTGCGCAAATCACGTCCCTAATGATCCCTAATGTATATTTGATATTGAGATCTCAGCTCTGATTGTAATCTTCCATGTGCAGACTGACAGAGATCATCTCGCTTCAGGGGTCTTTTCGAAAGCCAGGCAAACTCTGCGAAACGCAAAAAACGTGGCGAAACTCGAAGTGCAGGCATTCCATGCCGGGGATTTTGCCACAAGTGGGCACTGAACTTCCTGACTTTTGGTCCTCAGCTTAGTGCCCGGAGGTTCAGAGTCTGGTCTTCATCATCTTAAAATACTGTATGTTGTACCACATATATATATATATATGGTGGAAGTGGGGTTTGCTCTATTGACCGCAATGTGTTTCTCCCGTTGACGAAAGACATTTTCTACCACTCTTTATGAATATGTTATGTTATTTTTTTCCCCTAGAAACCAATATATATTTGTATATCAATCCTGAAGTACATACTTAAGGACCGTTATACGTATATATAGAGCATGTATGTACAGAAGTGCTTGTGCCCTGTTGCACCTGTAGTGGTCTGGTGGTCTGATGTGACACGTTGAGGTTTTATCAGACCTGCAAGGAGTTTGGTTTCTATCAGACTTGTGAGGCTGGGGACATCCATACGATGTTACAAGCTGTAGGGCCTGGTTTTGTGTTGTTGCACACATTGAAGTACTTTGATCCTCCCAAGGACGATTGCATGTTCGTGCGTGGTCTTGCAAATGCTAGCTACATGGCAAGCGGATGTGGCCTGCTTGCATACCAGCGCCAGTCTCCAAAGAAGTAGTTTGAACTGCCACGGAGTCTACTTGTGGTCAAAGCAAAAACAATGGCAGTCATGGCCGTGGCTGAAGGCATGAAGCTCTTCAACATCACGATTGAGGCCAAGCAGCTTTAACTGGAGCAACGAATCGAAACGTGCCAGTGAGAGTGTTCGATACTGGGAACCCCCTGCGGTTTGACGCGTTTTCAGAGATATGGTATGGTGTTCCTTAGAATGGCCTAAAGCCTCTCCACAAGGTTCAGTGCCTGTGTCTTGCGATACATTGCAGCTGTTTCAGGCTGTTTTAGGGATGAAACCCTTCTGGCATTACGCCTCAAGCACCTTTGTTTGATACCATGTCACTTCTGGCTCTTCCTTGCAGGATGTGCAATCCAACATTGATTCAACCAACTTTCACTATGGCGGCCTCTTACCGCATGAGCCTAAGCGCTTTGGACAGAACGACGACCCGAGTGACGCCTCAAAGCTGGTCAAAGCAACTGAGGTTAGATGACAAAGAACATTTGGGGAGGCCAAAGCTCGACCCAGCTGGTGCTTTTGATCCTTCTTTAACGCTGAAGGTGCGTGATGTTCCCCAACGGTGAGGTTGATCCTTGGAGTACATGCAGTGTCAGTGGCTGAGTGGGTGAAGTGTAAGCAAGAAAAGACAGAGACCTGCTTGACTGTTGCTCCGCCTGCAAGCAATGTCAGGTGCTGCAAGCTCCCAGCCCGGATTTGCCTGTACTGTACGTGTATGGTGTCCGCAGCTTGATGGGTGTTTGCTGTTCACGGCGCGGTTCCCTCCTTGGAGCTCGAGGCTTCTCACCATGCCTGGACGTGGCCAAGCCGGAGTGGGGATCAGGTGACGGTTCGGGTTTCGGATTGCGCCTGGTGTTTTTTGGACCTTGGGTTTTCGGCATCTCCTTTGGCAGGAGAGTGTCATGGCTGCTCGGAGCAAAATCAGGCGTCAGGCGAGAGTTGTCGTTGTGCTTGAATGATTTTCTCATTGAGCTCGCAGGAGGTGCGCATTTTGATTTTCTGTTTTGCAGCCACTTGCAGCCACTTGCAGCCACTTGCAAGTGGCCGCAAGTGGCTGCAAGTGGCTGCAAGTGGCTGCCCACGCAAGTGGCTGCAAGTGGCTGCAAGTGGCTGCCCAAGCAAGTGGCTGACAAGTGGCTG